CGACTCAAGCTCATTGACCCTTAAGTTTTCGAATTTTAAGCTGGCGTCTGAGTTCTTACGCGTTGGGTTGGTACGGCCTCTAATACAGGCTCGCGACAGCGGCTCTTACGCGCCGGGTCGGTACGCCTATTAGTTTAAGCTGGCGACAGTGGCTCTTACGCGTTGGGTCGGTACAACCTTTAATTTAAGATGGCGATAGCGGCTCTTACGTGCTGGGTTGGTACGACCATTAGTTTAAGTTGGCGACAGCAGCTCTTACGCGCTAGGTCGGTACAACCATTACTTTAAGCTGGCGATAGTGGCTCTTACGCGTTGGGTTAGTACGACCTTTAATTTAATCTAGCTCTTACGTGCTGGGTCGGTTCGACCGCAGTGGCTGTTACTCGTTGGGTCGGTACGACCATTAGTATAGGCTTATTTTTCCTTCGTTGAAGTTTTTTGTATTCGTACGACTCTTCGACGGATCGATAAGAACCTCGATTGCGAGCCGTTATGTGACAATGGGCGAGCACCTCGGGAGGTTTCGCTCGATGGCTGAATTGTTTCGAAGCCCTTTTATTGTTTAGAGCTGATATGATGGAAGTTTTTTTTTGCTTATGTCGAGGGTAGCCTCATTAACCGGTTCTTTTCGAAGTATTTTCGAACTAATTTGAAGGCATGTGAGTTTTATGGTGACGGTCGGGCATCCTCGAGTCGCGTTAGTTTGGCTGGTGCAGCCTTGTAACCGTAGTCATCGTATTTGGCTGCAGCCATTTAGTCCCCGAGTGAAGTAGCTTCGACGCTATATCGAGGGTACGCCTTTTTAGGGGTCTTACAAGTTCGAATATATAGCCTTAACTTTAAGATCGGGATTATGCCTTTTGTAAGGTCTTATAAATTTTGACATGCCTTACTTGAGGTCTTACAAATTTGGTTACTTGGTACAAGTATAACTCATGCTTTGCTTGAGGTCTTACATATTTGGTTACTTGGTAAAAGTAAAACTCATGCCTTGTTTGAGGTCTTACAGATTTGGTATTGCCTTGTGAAGGTCCTATGAGCTCGAGGTTGCCCGCATGGGGTCTTATAGCCTCGAGTTGACAAATCGATGGGGTGACCGTCGGCGACAGTCCCCGAGACATCGAGAGTTTTTTGGCTCTGGAGTCATTTTGTTTAAACTTGGACTTGCCTCATTGAGGGCTTACGAGTTCGAAGTTTCCGACCCGAGGTCATATGCCTTCGAGTTTTTGACGTCAGACCCCTAGTGTTCAGGTAATTTCTGGCTCTGGAGCCGTTTCTTGGAAAAATAGCGAATTACTTTGAAGAGCAAAGTGTTTTGATGGAAAAATATTCCTCGATTACTTGGCACAAGTATACATGTTTTTGTTGTCAAAGGCTTAATTATTCTATGCGGACACGGTTCATTCGACCGTTTGGCCCGATACATCATTTTCCTATTGAGACCCTTTTTGGCTCATCTTGGCTTCTTCGAGGGAGTGATCTCCCGGGGGGATGCCCCCCCCAGTATTCGAGGTTGATTGAAGAGAAGCCTTGAATACTTGTTAAGTTCTCCTCAGGTAGCATATGGATGTTGCCTCGTTAAAAGCCTTGCCGGTAAAACCCTTTCTGGGATAAAACCCGATGGAAGGAAAAGAGTGCAACGTATGCTTTAAAACCTGAGGTCTTCAAGTTGGAAAGCATTTCGATTGTTCCGATCGGACACCTGCATACAAGTTAGTGTAAGATGTAAAATAAAAATGGAGATGATTATACCTTAGTGGTGATGGCGCTTCGAGCCTCGATGTGCTTCAATAGTTTGCTCAAGGGACGCGGTACGGTCCTTTACTTGTTCATTCGGGTGTAGCCGAGAATGTGTCTCGTGATTGCTACTTCCCTGTTTGCTTGTCCTTTAGCTCCTTCGATGTTTGAGGCATCGATGTCGATGCCACATCGTGCACCGCGAACATCTCACTTGCTACATGTTGTTCTCCGTACACAATTTTTATTCCGTCCTTTGTCGAAAATTCCATCATTTGATGAAGAGTTGATGGTACTGCTCTCACGCAGCGTATCCATGACCTTCCGAGTAAGGAATTGTATCTCATTTCTCCTTCAATGATATGAAACTTGGTATTTTGGGTTGTGCCAGCCACGTTAACCGGGAGGGTGATCTCCCCTTTCGTCATCTCGCTCGCCATGTTGAATCCGTTGATGACTCGAGAAACAGGCACGATTTGGTCGAGCAGTCCGAGCTGCTTCACCACCCTCGACCTGATAATGTTGGCCGAGCTACCTGGGTACACATGTACACATTTTATTTGAAATGTATTCACAAGAAAAGAGATTACCAGTGCGTCGTTATGAGGCTGAGACAGGGTCTCGATGTCCGCGTCGCTGAATGTGAGAGCGTCCTCGGGTATGTAACCTCGAGTTCGCTTTTCCCTGGGGATGGATATTTTTGTTCGTTTTCAATGGGTTCCTGTGGGATGTCGACTCCCCTAACAACCATGTGGATGACATGTTGTGGTTCTTCTGTTTTGTTTTTCCTGTTCTCCTCTCATTCTCAGAATTGATTTTTAGCTCGGTCACTAAGGAATTCTCGAAGATGCCCTTTGCTGATTAGTCGGGCTACTTCCTCTCGGAGCTGTCTGCAATCTTCGGTCCTATGACCGTGTGTGCCATGAAACTCGTATACCAGGTTGGGGTTCCTTTGTGAAGGATCTGATTGTACGGGTTTTGGCCACCTGGTTTCTCTGATTTTACCGATGGCAGAGACGACGTCTAAGACATAAATGTTGAAGTTGTATTCGGACAATCGGGGTGCCTCCGTCGTTCCTGCATGTCTGTCGAATTCGACTCTGCCCACGAGTCCCCGAGTATTCTGACCTCGTTCTGTTCTTCGATCATTTCGGGGTATGTTACACCTTGGGGCGTTTCTTCGGTCTTCAGTGTACGGTTGATACCTTTCCTTGTTCGGCCTTGGTTCCTTCGCCAAGAGCCTTCTAGGATATACTGAGCCGAGGGGGCTCCTAGTTGGTCGTCCTCGACCCTAATCTTCGATTGATTTCGATTGTGGACATCTGACCAGGTCACAGTGGGATATTCTACCAACTTCTGCTTTAATTGCCTTGAAGCTGTCGAGCTTCGTTCGTTCAAACCTTGGAGGAAGGCCTGCACTGCCCAGTCATTGGAGACTGGCGGTAATTCCATTCACTCCATTTGGAAATGAGATACAAACTCCCACAGCATCTCGTTTTCTCTTTGTTTGATCTTGAAGACGTCGGACTTTCTTGTAGCAACCTTAATGGCACCAGCGTGTGCCTTTATGAAAGAATCTGCCAGCATGGCAAATGAATCTATTGAATTTTGGGCTAGGTTGTGATACCACATCATGGCCCCTTTTGAAAGTGTTTCTCCGAATTTCTTCAACAGGACAGATTCAATCCCGTCGTCATTCACGTCATTCCCTTTTACAGCACAAGTGTAAGCAGTGATGTGCTCGTTGGGGTCCGACGTTCCGTTATACTTTGGGAGATTAGGAATTCTGAATTTCTTCGGAATGGGCTTTGGAGCGGCGTTTGACAGGAATGGCTTTTGTACAAATTTCTTTGAATCTACACCCTTCAGGATCGGGGGTGCGCCTGGGATCTGATTGACCCTTGAATTGTAGGTCTCCACCGTTTTGTCATTGGCTTCTATCTTCTTTTCTCCCGATTCAATCCTCTTCGTGAGGTCCTCGAGCATTTTTATGATAGCGGGATCGGCTGCTGACCCGTTGTTGCTTGATCTTTCTGGTATTTGTTCGGCTTGAGGAGTCATTTCCGGTCCTGTTGTGCTCGGAGTTTTTTGGTGGCTCTGCAGCTGAGCGATCGCCAGCTGTTGCGCCTGCAACATCTCAAAAATGACGTGAAATCTAACCTGTCGTTCCTCCCGAGCTGGGGTTTTTTGAGCTTCTTGTTGGTTTTCTTGGCGTATACTCATGTCAGTGTGGGAGCTTATATTGACGTGTTGGGCGTTGCGCGAGACCACGTCCACGGGAATTGGTTCTGGTGCATCCTTAGGGTTTCGCGGTGGTACACCAACACCTGAAACAACTACATCATTCTCTCCATGGTCCTCAGGACCGTTGTTCTCATGTGCATTCACTAAGTTTGACATTTTGGCCTGAAATCAAAGATTCCTTGGACAAGAAAAAGCGTGAAAAGATAACTTGCATTATGTAGTAAACCAACAAGAAAACAATCTATTATTTTTAGCCCCACAATGGGTGCCAAACTGTTTATCTTGAAAACGGTAATTACAATTAGATTTAATTTTGTGATTCTAAAAATACGCAAAATTTTTATGCTAGTTGTTAAGCAATTGATGCTAAGTGGGAGACATAGAAAACAAAGTAACAACTTGAAGGTAGCGTATCAAGTAAACCAAGTGGCTGAGAATCGGGGCCTCGAGGTCGAGCTAGGCATTAGGCTCTGAACATTCGATGGGGAACTAACAGTTCTAAGGGCCTTGATGAGGGCTTTTTATGATCAATGATGAGTGATAAATGAAGAACAATCAATGAAATGCAATAAATGTAAGTAATAAGATCAAAGGAGAATATGTTTAAGTTAGAGAGTAGAGAATGTTCTTGTTCTTGTATTCAATATTGTGTATGCTATGTATCCCTTACAAAGCGACAAGGATCACCTATATATATGAGGAGGAATCCCAAAATGGTACATATGCATTTATTACAAAGATACGCGGCTGATACAGCCATTTGATGTCACGGTACGGGCTTGTACTAGCCTAATAGACTTGGTCAGCTTTAATCAGGTGCCTTGGGAACTTCCCGTTTTGCCATCATAACCATCGATTTATACTTCCCCGAGGTTGAACATTGAGAACCCTCGGGGTCAAACCTCGAGATGCGCCTCGATCCTTTTGAGACATACTTACGAAGCGTCACAAAATTGGACCCTCTGATTTTTACCGTATACAAGAATCGTAGAGAAGCCTCTATAGTCGTTGTTATTCTTTCAAACGTCGTTCTTTCGCTGATGAACCATGGCTGTTAAGTCCATATTGATGTCAGAATAGAGAGACGAAACCTTTAATATGTTGCCGTTCAGCTCCTGAATTAGACCCACGTTCTGCACCATTCTGTCGTGCATTCTTGACTGGTGGTTCTCATTAACATGGTGAATCGGCAATCTATTTCGATCTAACATCGACTGCACTTGTCTATAATTGTTGGAAAAAGAGTTCCACGTCTCAGAGTCACCTTCTTCTTCCATACTGAAGTCGTCATCCCTATATTGCTCTTCCACGATAGGGTTGTTGGCTCTGCGATGGTTATTAGTGGTGGCTGCAGAGTTACGGGAGCGGGATTTTTCTAAGGATTGACGGTGGCGATTGAGGTTTGAAGTCTCTTCCATCATGTAGTTCAAGAATAATTGATGAAGAAATGGAAATGTTGAGGTTTCCTTCTGTCTTTGAAGATGTACAAGTGTTTGATACAATTTTGCCTACTTCTTGTGCTTTATATAGAGGTCAAGGAAGTGTGTTTAACTAAAAGATGTCGAAACCTTTTTGATTAAATCAATTAATGAAGATGAAGAGGTAAATCATAGTCAAACGTAATAAACTCCAGATCTAAAAATGAATCAGAAAGTGATGAATAAGATAAAATAAGGGCAATCAATCTTATTGATGTTTTTCGTTTCTTCTCTCATGATACAGTGAGGATGATCAATTTACATGATATAGTGAGGACAATCAATTTACATCCTTTCTTCAAAGAAAGCTATAGAAGAGAGGAAAGAGAGAAAAAGCCTCCCTTCACTTGGAGGATTCCTCGCATATATATAGTCCTGGAGTCCTTGCTATATTCTTTGGTCGATGTGTGATGTTCTAAACGTCAATACCACACAAGAGGGGGGGGTGATTTGTGTGGTACCCAATTTTCGCTTTAGAAGAACCTGATTCTTCTAGGTGTACTTACTATTACTGTTTGCGGAATTAAGAGTGCATAAAATAAATAACACAGAGATTTTTACGTGGAAAACACCTGGCTCAAAAGGTGAAAAAAACCACGACCTACTACTCAGTAGGATTTTCCCAAACTTCCACTAAAATCACTGAGCCAAAACAGCATTTACAAAGCTCTTGTAAACCTAAGGATTAAACTCTAATCCCAGTATGGCACACAGCCTCAACTGTTGCGACACCTTCAAGTTAGCCTATAACATGAATACTCAAAGTACCTATTACAATTGCTTCTACAAAAGCTGGAAAGGTACAACTCTAAACCACCTACTATAATTGAACTAGAATAAAAATAAACACAATGGAATTGGTTCTTCTATCTTGTCCAAGTAGTTTCAGGAATGCACACTTGATCTCACATAAATTGCTTGCAAAATTGCCTCGCTCTTTTGCTCTCAATTTAGTTTCACTTCTGCGTTTGTGCAATCCCTGTAAAAGAGAACAAGTACTGTTATTTAATGAGTTAGTAACAGAGTTTGATTGAGACTCAATTGCTGATCTTCCATCGAAGTTGAGTCCTTGAACAATACAAACTCCAACTCTATCCTTTATCCGAATCGTGCCCTCTTCCCATGAGGATACTTTCTTTCCTCATCCAATATGCAACCTTTTCGATCAGTTCAGGAGATATTGCTGCTTTATCCTTGAGACTTATCTCCTTCATGTGTATCTCACATGTATAGGTTGATAAACACTGTGTCTCACATGATGGACCTGGTCCATGACTGAGTTCATTTGTCATTCTTCAAAACTTCACCTGAACTTGGGCCAACAAATTCCCCCTTTTTGATGATGACAAACTCTGTGCTTTTACTGATCAGACAACCTGTGGAACTCAGCTTAATCGTCAACACTTTAACTTAGAAATTTTAACTTATCATCAAGGACCAGGTTTAATCAGGTTATAAATATCACATTATTCAGAATCAGAATAACAAGTAAAGCACAATATCTCTTCCCCCTTTTGGCATCATCGAAAAGTTGCAAATAATGTGAATCCCATATTTTAATAATTACTCATAGCCACTAGGGCAACTGCAAGTGAAAACATGGTTCAATTAATCAACAACCAACAATCAAAATTAAATATTAAGATCAGAATCTTCATAGAGCAAGAGAAAAAGCAAATTGTCATTGATTAGGATATGTTTCCACAAACAGACCACAAAGAGAAAGAAAAACTTCCAAACATGAGCAACAAAAACAGAAAAAATCCCGAATCTGGGTCACTGGGGGTTCTAGATAGGTTCAAAAACAAGAACTGGAAGACCTAAGGCTTGGAGGAACTAGAGGGCTGGGTTTGGGGAAGGTTGAGCATATTCTTAAGCATTCCTTCACTTTTCTCCTTTTCTTTTGCTAGCTCAGCTCGAAGGCCATCTCTTTCAGCTTCCAAATCAGCAACACGAGCCTGAAGCCTAGCAATTTTAGCACCCTTAGTTCCACACTCTCGAACCAAAGCCCTAACCTTGCTATTTACTGGTGTCTTCAGAGATGAACCAGGTTCAACTGGGGTGGCATTGACAGGATAGTCACAAGCCAATCAGGTCTTAACACCAAAATGCTCCTTGCTTGATGCCATCTCCCATTTCTTCAAAGGCACCCTAAGCTTGTCCAGCACAATAGTCAGTATGAACCCATATGGAGTTGCATGTGCCTTGGAGCCATTAATGACCCTCTCCAGTAGTTTGACAATAAAAGCAGGCCAATTTATCTGCTTTCCTCTCACAAGGTATTCCATAAGCACCAGGTCCATATAGTTGGCAGTATGCCTCCTCTCCTATCTGGGCAGCAGGCACTTGTTCAATACAAATAAGACCTTGTGCTCAGGTCTCATCTCACTCTTCTAAACAAATCTGGCTTCAGGTACATCTTCAGCATTTGCAGCATCACAAAAATTTCTAGTAATTTGAAGAGCAGTGGGGAGAGATTCCAGACATGGCCACCTCTGCCTTGCATAGTCATCATACCCTTCACTTGGTATGTCTAGAATCTCACCCGGTTTGATTGCATCAAACTCCACTTTTACTCCTCTCACCAGGATGGAGACTACCCCATTTTTCATAGTGGCATTGGCCATGAACTCAATCAACTCATTTCTAGCCAGCCTTCCATCCATCTCAAGGACCATGTCCTTCCACCCTTGTGCAGTAAGAGCATCCATCAATCTTCTCATACCTGGCTCATCCGGGTCTTTCAACAATCTTCCTTTAAAAAATTTTCTCCTGCCAAAGATGGCAAACCTATCCTGTTCTTTCTCAAACTCCTCCTCTTCTTCTTCTCCACTCCATTCTTCTTCTTTTTTAGTAATTTTTACCTATTTCCCTTTCACTGCAGATCTGGTTCTTTTGGCTAAGGAGGGTTCAGCTGATACTGGTGAAGAGGAAGACTTCTTGGAAGAAGTCTTGGATCTTTTTGGTTTGGGAGTAGGAACTTCTTCAGTTGTTCCTCTTTCTTGATGGACCAGGTCCATCTCCTCTTCTTCTTCTTCTGCAACCTCAGAACTCTCCACAACCTTAGCCTTTCCTTTTTCCCTCTTTTTCTTCCTGCTCTCATCTAGAGCTTTCTGCAATTCTGTTTTACTTTGCTTCACCTTGCTTCTAGTAGCTCTTCCCTTTGGTACTGAAGGGACTGTAGGCTTTTGAGATGACACTTTACTTTTCTTTGTTGGCTTGGAAGCAGTTGGAGCCTTTTGTGTGGAAGCCTTGTGCTTCTTTGGATCATAACTGGCCCCAACCTTCTTCAGAAGTTCTGCCAAAGTTTCCTCAGCAGATGCACCAGGTTCATATTGATGCTTGCTTAAATTTACTAGCCCTTCAGCCGCCTCCCCAGAACTATTTCCCCCTGAGTTGTTACCACTCTCTTCAACATTCCCACAGATAGCCAATAATTTTTCTTTCTTATTTCCCCTCACATTACCACTGTCTCCTCTCTCTCTTTTTCTTTCTGTTTTCCTCCTCTTCTACTAGAATCAGCACCCTATACATCCTTGAAAGGACCAACCAAGACAAACCTATTTTCAACCTTTTCAACTACATCAGAACATACCAAACAAGTATTTACCTCACCAGGGGTTTCTTGATTCTTATCAGTGTCAGAGGAACCATGTTCTTCACCTTCGCTGGCAGAGATAAAAGCTTCAGACTCAGAGCTGGAGTCAGATTCTTTAGCAGAACTTTCCTTCTTCTGGCTAGCCCTTAATTTCTCATTTAGAGCTTTTCTCAAAGAACCAGAAGCTACAGTTTTTCTAGCCAACATTTTCTGCCGGCGGAACCTTGGTTTTGAGGTTTCACTAGGGGGTGTAGATGAGGATGTATTAGAAGGGGATACTGGTGGGGGAGTTCTAGGATTATCTTGGGGATTAGTCATGATGAATTATTTCTGGAGAAGATTTGGGAATTTTGGAGAGAAAAAGATAATCAGAACTAGAGAGGATTTTTGACGGTTATGAAATAATGAAGAAGGGTGTGGTGAGTATTTAAAGATGATTAGAAGTAATTGCAGTAACGGCAGCTTTTTGCAGGAGTCAATTAGAAGTCTAATCACTTTAGAATTCCGGTCTCTTAGTGGTTAATAGGCGACGCTAGATTTTAGGCAAAAATCCCGTTTTCTTTAGAGTTCTAGGAGAATGAAACTGGTTCAATGCTCAACGGATAGAATTTCTGGGAATTTGATGAATGTAGGACTTCTGCTCATGATTGAAAAATTAATCTTTCTAATTGTGCACGTATAGAAAACATACCTGAACTTTCTCATAAGCATATACTAATGAACCAGGTTCTTCAAGTAGAACTCTCTTGAACATGCCTCAAATGTCACAATAGAAAAAACTTTGTAAGAGATCAGTGAGTCATATATACACATGTCACAGGAGTATACTGATTAAAGTATGAAACTGAGTAAGAATTGATCTAGATATTTACACAATAGTTAGAACTCCTAACCAAAAAAAAAATTTCATTTTGTTTTTCAAAATATTTTTTTTTCATCGTGCATTCTGAACTGGACCTATTAGGTGATCTTAATCATCCCCAATTCCAACTTGTTCCTCTCAAAGTTTTCTCTACTCAATGCTTTAGTAAAGATGTCAGCTATTTGTTTATCAGTAGCACAGAATTCTATTGAAATCAATCCTTTCTCATAGTTATCTCTTAAGAAGTGGTGTCTAACATCTATGTGCTTAGTCCTCTTATGATGAACAGGGTTCTTTGTCATACTTATAGCACTAGTGTTATCACAAAATATTGGAATACATCCCACTTCAATTCCAAAATCTACCAGAGCTGTTGTTTGATCCATAGTAATTGAGCACAACAAGAAGCAGCAGCAACATACTCAGCTTCAGCAGTAGATAGGGGTTTGCTTTTTGGTAGCCCATGACACAAGACATGAA